ACAGTTTGAACACGATAATATGATTTCATGATATTTATCATCATAATCACATAGGAATCAGAGATTGGATTTACGTGTATTACTATTTTTTTTTGTTTCGGACGTTTCCCGCACGTAAACCTGTACTATACGGTGCGTTCGCGTTTTCGGATAACGCTAAATGGGTTCGACCTGATAACCTTGGATTTGCGTTCCGTTTTCGTAAAGCGATAGGGGACGCTAAAATAAACACTTTTTTTTTTCTAAAATACGCGACACCAGACTTGAAATCCAAGTCCTAAATTTTTCAAGTAATTTTTTTATCTCGAAAAATACGCTACGCTATAGACTAAGATGGTAAATTGGTAAAATTATGATTTTTTTTTCTTTCAAATTTAAAACGTATTATGTGTATTTAAACATAAACGAAGTAAATACTATTAACTACAGATAAATTTACAGGTGCTTATTTCGTTTCCGAAATGCCGTACTTTTTCGTAATTTGTGTTCAAATATGGCCCGCATAAACGCCCCCTCCTATTCCCATACGGTTATGGACGTTATAATTATGTTTTCCGTATTACTTTGGAGTTAACGTTATGTCACGGCCATATACAGTGACATTATTCGCAAATTAAATAAACGAAAAAAAACCACAACCTTACCGAAAGATATGTAAAATTGTGTTGACTCGAAACTTTTTAAGATTTCCTATTTTGCTCTCTTTCGGCCATTAGATTGAATTCATTAACGGCTATACAATGTTATTAAGTTCTTAAAAAAAAAAAAAAAATCATTGCCGGTATATGCTTCAACGGTACGCGTTTATGTGCAAATAATGCGAGCTAAATGTCTATAATAGGTATACACAGAGTTATTATATTATCGCGAAACAGCGATTTTCTCGGGAGATTTCAAGTGAATTTTATTTCCGTGTGTGTGTTTTTTTTGTAAGTTCTATTCTGCAGTTTGTTTCCGTTTTTGAAAACACGTCAATCGTGTAATCGTGTAACCGCATTCACTATCGGGATTTAACTTCGAAAAATTTGATCGGGCAATTTTATTTCGCGTACTATTTCCCGGTTTTACAGCGCTTATTTCGGTGGTGCAGCGTTTTTTTTCTAAAAACAAATTCTACCGGGGCGGCACTTTGATGGGGCCATTTTTTTTTTTTTTTTGATTTTCCCAGAGGCTTTCCGATAAACGGGAAACAAACACGGGAATACCGGGAAAACGGGCGCAAATATTAAACGGATACCGTTAAAGTAAATACGCAACGCGTATGCGTGTTACTTAACGGCGGTATTACGACATGCACGCGTGCCGGCGACGAAGCGACGCTATTGGCCGTCGTTCGTCAGCGACAACGGTCGCAATGCAATCGCCTCGCGACACCGTCGTACGCCGGATCTCGCCGGTTCGCCGTCCCGGCCGCTACGCGTCCGCAACGGCGTCCGCAGTGTTCCCAGCGCCAAAGCCGGCCGGCGCCCCCAACGATCGATTCACCGTTCGCCCGCGACCCGCCAAAGCGTCGCGTACCGCTATCGATCGTCCGTTATCGCCGATAACGCGCACGCGGCGCGTTCAACGTCTCGCGTCAACCCGGCCGGCCGCCGCGGTAATCGCCGCGACCGCTGCGTTTCGCGGCCGCCGCGCGCAGTCCGAACGCGGATGCAAATATCGGTATCGTTATCGACGACGAGCCCCCGGCGGTTCGCGCGGATCCGTCGGTTTTCTCAATCGCGGGGGCACGGCCGTAAATATCCCGTTCGTATACGCGGGGGGGGGGGGGGGGGGGGTGGTGGTGGTGGCGGTGGGCTACGCGGCCGCGTCGCGTGTCGTAACGATAGCGACAACGGTTTGATTTTACGGCCGCGGACGAAATGACGACGACGGACAAAACGAGATATCTGCGCGTAGGTAACGTACGCGAAACGCCGTTGCCGTCATTATCACCGGGCCCGGCGTGTTCCCGTCGGCGCGGAGATGACCGCGCCGTTCGTTTTTTACGCGTAATCGCCTCCGTTCGTGACGACGGCAATACGCGCCGGGGCGATAACGATGGCAACGATGACGGCGGCGGACAATTAGTCAAAAACGGTCGTCGGCGCCGTAGCGTCACCGCCGTTTCGCACGTTCATACGGACGCGCAGAACGCCTCCGCGACCCGATGTGCAGTCCGGGCGCGCCGTCGCGATTCGGACGTTCCCGATCGCGTCGTGGCGGTCGTTACTTCTTCTTCGCCGCGACGCGGTCCGCGCGCCCGGCGGCGCAAGTCTCGCCCCCTCGTTTTCGGGCCGCGGTTCGCGCGCGTAATATTTTTTTCCGCGGTGCACGGGGGGGGATACGCGCGTCTCGTCCGAAATCGAAAAACAACAATAACGGCGGTGGCATAATGGAGAGAATTCGACACGGACCGCTCCGACCGACGCGACGATAACAATAACAACAACAACGACAATGATAATATAATATCGCCGCTCGTATCTGGTACGAGTGTGTTGTGCACGCGGCCGAGTACGACGGAATGGAAATATCTTTTCGAATGCGGAACGCATTATTATCGTATACGCGTGGTGACGACGACGACGTTATTACGTATACGTACGCGGCGACGGCGGCGGGTTTTAATCGATTTTTATTATTATTATTATTTTTTTTTTTTTCCTATATTTTCATTACTTGTATTTTTATTTTTTTTTTTTTTTTTTTCGAAAAGGTTTCTCCTCCCGTCACCCCGCGCACGGAAAAAATAATACCGCGCGTTACACGACAGCAACGATAACAATATTAAAATGGCCGGCGCGCAAGACCGTCCGGGCCAATCGTCGTCGTCGCGGTCGGTCGGTCGGTGTTTTCGCCGTACCGTCTCGTCTCGTACCCGGACAAACCGTTTCGGTATTCTCGCCCGTACGCGACCGGCGGCGGCGCACCGAAACCCCGAAATCTCTTTCGAAAGATTCCCGGGCCGCATCAAACGCGTTTTTATACCATCGCTTGTCGCGCGCACACACGTAGAGAACAAAAAGGAAAACCGGTCATCGCCGCGTTTCGAACACGACGTTGCGTACCCACGTGGGTGCCCAATAATATTATCGTGCGTATGCGACGCCGCCCGCGTAGAGCCGTTAACCATTCGTAGAAAACAATAATAATAATAATAATAAAAAAACCCGCAGTCCGGGTCCTCGGGACCGCGCGTTTTACAATAACGTATATGCCCCCCGGTTCAACCCGGCCCCCCCCCACCAACTCGGAAATACGGCCGCCGCACGATTGCCGTGTCTCCGCGACGTTTTCTCCCATTCGTTGCGCGTTGTTTATCGCGTCGTACGCGGATTTTTTTTTCTTTCTCACGAGTATTTTTACGGGCGCGCGGGACAACGTCGGTGAATACGCGCCGCGCCGTTTTTCCGCCGGCGGGTTTTTCGCCGGAGCGTGTTTATCGTCTCCAAGAGGTCCGGACGGAAACGGCAGTGCGCGGGTCGTCGCGGTTCGCCGAGAACGCGCGCGAAAAAATTGACAACACCCCCCCCTCCTCCCAGCCACACGACGACTCGTCCGATCGGCTTCAGACCTTCACCGGCTTTTCGGACTTTTTTCGACTTCACGTTTTTCTCGCGTTCGCTAACATTTTCTGTTACGGAAGGGTGGGGGGGGGGATATGTGAGCCAACTTCACGCAGAACCGGCTCGAAGCCTTCGAAAAGACCGCGGGACGAATTCGGACCCGGCCGCCCGGGCGCGAACCAAGTACCGTTGCACTATTATTATTGTACATTCCTCCCTCTCGCCCCTCCCTCCCAACAGTCGTAAAACTATTATATTACATATATAATATTTTCTTTTTTTTTTTTTTAATCTCCGAACGAATATAATAAATCGTACGATTCGTGATGTGTCGGAACGTCGTATACGAAACGCGCACGCTGTCAATACGTTTGAAGTATCCGTGTGTATAATAAAATCCGCTCAACGTTCTATCTCTCTCTCTCTCTCTCTCTCTCAATCTCTATTTTTCTCCAGAACGTCGTGTAAAACATAATAATATTATTATTTTTACATCGTCCATATATCGAGCTGTATTCGGACGTGTGATTTTTTTTTTTACTCACAATAATATTATACCACGTGTTTTATGTGCGATTGTAAAAGTATTACCGTCGTTAATATTTTTTTTTTTTATACACATGATAGATATACATACTATTATATTATACGGCCGCACAAGTATATAAAACACGGATACCTAATAAAAAAGCTAACATACTTCGCACGATGGGTGGGCCACTGTTGTAGGTGAGAAGCTGGATACGGATGAGGGGAGTTTAATGTATATCTGTAGGCGACGATTGACCGTCGCTAACGAAAAACGATTATGAGCGGATTTTCAAAAGGCCGTATAGTATATTTACGATTTTTTTTCGAAATTCGGTATTGAAATTTGTATACATAAAAAGAATAAAAACTATAGGTACATTAAACTAAATTCTTTCTTGTTGACCAATAAGTGCAACTAATAATGGACCGCCTGTTAAATTTTCAAGCATTTTTCAAAACTCAAACGGTTTGGAAATTTTACCACGTATAGACAAAATAAATATAAGTTTTCTGTCCAAATTCCAAGTCTTTACGAACATTTTGAAATTGAACATTTTGAAACATTTTGAAAAAAACAATTTGAACAATTACAATAAAAAAAAAAAAACAAAATTGAAAATATCAAAAGCATTATTTTCGTAAATTCTATGTGGAGGATATCATTGATTGACCAAACAAAAATGCTCATTATAAGTTTTATTTATAGTGGTAAAAAAAAAAAAAAAAAAACTTGAGCGTAATGTAGTTTTTTTTTTATGGGAGTTTTAATATTAAATTTTGACGAAAACCGCACAAAATATCACATTTCAAAACACTTATAACCGAACTTCGCTCCGAATCGTTTTTCGTTAGTACAATGATCTGTCGTTCTTCTCGTTTCCTCCTTCCCCCTTCATTCCAACCGTCGGCGCACTCCTAGTTCTAAACTCCCGCCTTTAACCCGTTCTCCCATCTCCGGAACACCACGGCCGTTCGCTCGTCATTCATAATCCTATCCAGCCGCCTTGTTTTCGGTCTTCCTCTGCGCCTCTTTTCTCCTGCGTTTATTTTCATTACCGCTCCAAGATCCCTCCCTCCACTCGACGCGCCTAAACCGTCCCGCGGTCTATTTTCACCCGTTTCGGCCGCCGCCACATCGAGGCCGCGCCTAAGTCCCTTGCGTTCCCGTCCCCCGTCCCGTCTTCTCGCGCCGTTCCGCTCATCCGCCCAAGCGTCGTTCTCGTCCCGCGGCTGCTGCACTCCGTTCTCCGTTCCGGTTTTCCGTCTACCGCCCGCCACTCCGAATCGTCGCCAGCACAGACGCACGGCGTTAAAATATAACTTTATACGCGCTGTCCTACACCTTCCTTGCTTTCCGCCTACGACAGTGGCGCGCCCATCAGCGGTATCGGCTCTCATTTTTTTTTTTTTTTTTTTCAAATTATATCGTTTGTCCGTTTTTCTCTCTCTCTCTCTCTCTCCCGGCGCGGATACGTGTCCGTATAACATTGTGGTACATAAGTGTATAAGATATTATACACACACATATATGTATATATATATATATATCTAATATATTTATAGGTGTACGCGTGTACGTTATAATGATATAATGACGTGATATACGATGACGGACGGTTATTATAATATTATAACGCGCGTACTACGAACACGTTATAATATTGTATACGTACGGTATATGTAATGCGTTTCTATTCGGGTTTTTTTTTTTTTTTTTTTTTTTTTACCCCGTCGTCGTAGCACAAACGCAGTAACGCCGTCGTACCGTTTATGCTACGACGACGGCACAACGCGCGGCGCATTGTAACGATATTGTACATTATACACTCGAACATCTAAAAGACCGCGCGCGAAACGTTTTCGGATATTTATTAGGGACAATATTTAACGTAAACCGCATACGGTAATATAATAATCGTCGTTAATTTATCGGACAGCGGCGGCTAACGTACGGCACGTAACGCGATGAGGTCCCCCGGAAAGCCGCGGCTGTACGGCTGACGACGCGTGCACGGTTCTTGTATTACGGCCGTCCAGCGGCGTCTGTGCGGCAGTGGCGTTTTCGACGGGAACGGCGGACGTGGCGAATAACAATGGCGGACGAATCGTAAAACCGCCTTCTCTATTACCGCTGATCGACCGCGCGGCGCGATTTCCAAGCCGGATCCTAAAAGTAAACCGATACGTCCAAGCTATTTCTCGTGACTCCGTTGAAATATAATACGCACGGTTGGGATTTTATAGCATTTGCGTATTTCCCGTGGGACGGTTTGCGGTTACATCGACCAATAAAAACCTGCTGGTCAGTGGTGTAGGTATCAAAAGCTGCACACCAACTGTGGTGACTTATACTGTAAAGCAGATTATTGTAACAAAGTCTATGATCGACGCGGTTCTCCGGTAAATCGTGTTTTTTTCACACTTAATCGTTTATCAATTAATCGTCCAGTTTTTTTTAACTGTAATGTTTTTTACTCTTTATCGTGCCGAGTTTGCCGTATTCGCGATTTAAGCTTTACTAAATTAAATACAGATGTATACCGATTCTTGGCTTTATTATTTATTATTTTGTTGGTGATAATCGGAGCTCGTAACTTGTTGCGCTAAAAAAGGCTGTTATAATTGCGATGATACGCTGCGGAAAATTGTAATAATAACGATATCGGAACATCCGGAGACTATACAAATAAAATGCCAATGCAAGTGGTACGATTATAGGGGTCCTTTTCTCGATATGATTACCGTCTTACTGAGTTGCGGCGGATGCTAATAGAAACAAATGGACATGTACAGATATTCAAGATTGTTTAAATTAATCGTGTCAGTTAAGTATGTTTTGGAGCCTACGGTATTGAAACAGAGTTGAGCGTACAAACAAAAGCAAAATAGCGCTTAAATTTCGAGATATGCAAGAATGTGCAACATAAACTATTTCGTCAAAATACAATTTACAGCTCCCATAAGTATAGAGATCTAAGGTCGCCAAAAAAAAAAAAAAAACACGCAAATGTTTGAAGTCACGAGCCCTGGTTATGACTACTACTTCGTCAAGCGCCATTAATTATAATCGTTTTATCTTTTTCTCATCGAAATCTCACCGACGTCTCTTATATCATTTTAGATTACAGATGAAAATCAATGTCGATAAATTTAAATTCGGCTAGCGTATTTACATCCAAACAATAAAATACACTATTTATCGGTCGGTTGTGCGGGGTTTTTTTTTTTTTTTGCTAAAAATTGTTCGGCTTTGCCCCTGATTACCGCGCTCCTATTCCGGTGTCTGTCGCGTGTCGGTGTACGACGTGTTTCAGACGCGCGTGCCGCGTTAAACGATACTCGGAAAACCGCTCGGCCGAAAAATATCGAAACTGACGGCGACGACGGTAAAATGGTGTTGTTTTTTTTTTTTTCCCCCGAACACCATCGCATTACGCCCGACAACGTTACACGGATTTATCATGTTTTTTTTATCATAGGCCGCGGTTCAACACGACGTCATCGCCGTAGTCGGACCGTATGTTGCCGTCTCCGTCCGAACGGTCCGAGTTTTCGTAAACGTTTCCGATAAACCATCGAGCAGCCAGTGTTGGCCCGGCACACCAAAGGCTCCTGAACCGTTTGTTTCAAGAGGACGCCGTTGCACACACGCGTTTGTTGTTTCCGTCCTACAAACAACAGGCGTAGTAAAAACGCGCTTACGCAGATCACTCGTTATGAAATCAACAGAGAACAATTATATTCCGGTGGGTAAATCGTTGCGTTTTTTGAAAAAGTTATTTTCCTTAAAAGTTTTTGGGAATTAGAAAACGTCGAAAAAGTCGTTATTTACAAACGGTGAATTGACTGTTACGTTCGGAGAAAATGGAAATAAACGCGACGTTTTTCCCTCCGGAATATTGTTCTATTTTGAGTATTATAATAAGCGATTTTACTCGAAAACCAAAATTTTAAACGAGGCCTGAGTAGTCTGCGTAAACATTTTTCAACTATATATATACACAGTGCGTTTGTAAGACGGGGACGCGTGTGTGCCGTCCTCTCAAGGGGCCCCACAGACGAAAAATTCAAAGGACCCTGAAAAATAGTGCGGCACCGGATCATGAACCGCTGTCGGTCGATGACATTTCCAACAGTAACAATGGATTTCGTGGCTGTTTACAGAAGCGATGTTCAAAGAGACATTTCTGACATCTCATTCAGTATACTTTTCGCTCGCGAAATATTATTGACAATAAACTATTGTATCTCATGAGTTTTATTACGGTCGGCTTCTGTGTTTCGGGCTTTTTTTGACGCTTTTAAACGCTTTTTTTTGTGGACTTCAAGCGCACACATAAATCCGTTCCCCGCGGTTATATTATCGCTGCTGTCGACCGCGCGACGGTAAAAAGTCTGAGTGCGCGTCGCATACGTTTTACGGGGTTATTTTTACCGGGTGTACATTGAACGAATAACCGGCGATAAATCACACGGTCATATTTTATAATATTACACGGGTACGCGACGGTGACGCGCATAAACCGACTGGAGGGAAACGTCGTCGAATCGTCAAATTTTTACGAGCAAATAATAATAATAATAATATTATTGTCACGAATCGTACACACGGCGGTAAATCTCGTAAATCTTAGCGCGGGTAAAGTTTCACACTGCGCGGGCTCTCCGGACGCGACGCAGTTAATATTTATTTGTTTTTTCGTTATCCCTACGTAAAACTCGAAAAATATTGTAAAAAAAATAATAACGGCGGCGACCACGAGCGCGTTAGTAAAAAACGGGTTTTTTTTTTTTTTATTTTTTTGTAAAGTATACATAAATGCCGATACGCTCATATCCCATACAGACGACCGCGCGTTTATAGTTCGCGGTAATAAACACGTCGAAACGCGTCATCGGTAATAATATTATATTTTCGTAAGAGACGATACTTTTTTTTTTTCAAGTCCGAACGAGCCGCGAGTCTCGTAAACCCACACTATAAATCAGCGTCGGATCTCCCCGGACAAGTGTTTTTTCATACACAAACAGACAGATAAAGATATAGTTTTCACGTGTTATATGGGTGGAAATAAAACATATAATATCGATAAATACGTAAAATATATTAAACGAGAATTCGGTGGCGTGGCGAAAGTTTTTTATTTTTTTTTATTTTCTGAGACGATTGAACAACGATTTCGTCCATACTGTAGTTCGGCGCAATCACCGCGGTTAACAGAGTACAACAAACCGGGCATCTCGGTTAGTTTTTCGCATCACCTAAACAACACCTTCTTCTTATTTCAGCATTGAGGCCCGTGGCTGCGAAACAAACTTCTTTCCATCTGTCTCTGCCCAGAACTAATTCATTACCGTCGTCTATCTATCTCTAGTTATTTTAGTCCCTTCTTGCTTTTTTCAACCTATCTCCTCATCGGTCTTCCAATCGGCCTCCTTCCCTGGACGGGTCCAGTTCAGTACTACATTTGTCATTGATATCGCCCTTAGTATACATGGCCAAGCCAACCCAGTTTATCGTGTCGTATTTCCGCTATTATATTTGGTTTTACGAATAATTCCCAAAGTCCCCTGTCAGACCTAATTTGGTATGTTTTTAGTCTTCATTTCTTTCAGGTCCGTAGATCCTCCCGAGGAATTTTATCTCCGTGATAGCAAGTCTTTTTTATTATTGTGGTTGACACATGACTATAAGATGTACAGCGCGTCAAACCAGCTTTGAAAGGTTTAACGTAGGGTATCTTATAAATTGAGAACACGAACATCGATCTTATAAGACCTTTTGGTAAAATTCAAAAGATAAAAACAAAGGTTATTTGAAATGCGTGCAAAATTAGTTAGAAATTAGAATATTAAATTGTCGGAAAAATAAAAAGGCATAAACAGTGTTTTAATTTTTTATGCCTCAGCTTACATAGTGAAAAACCTGTCCGAACACAATGAATCTGACGGTGTCCGTGAAAAAGGGTTCAAGTCAAATTTTTTAATATTTCAGGAGATGAAAAAAAAAAAACACCCGAATAATGCACTATAATTACACTCACGCCCTTTTGCGTCGACAGATTCGCTTATCTCGATGACTTATGTCCGTACGCGCGTAGTAATTGCGTAGTGATATTAAAAATGCAGGGCAGACGAATTTCCGAGCCGCCAATCGATTGGCGATTTTCCGCGAAATTGATGTGGGTACTCGTGCAACGTAAACAATGGACTCAACCCTTTTTCGCGAATCCCGTGCCCATATTAATCTCGAGTAAAAAAAAAAAAAAAACAAATAATAATAACAATGTTTATCTCGGCACTACGCAGCTGCAGCTGCAGATAATTCAAACCGCATTTTTATCCGGTCGTCTGCGAGCTTTATTATATAGTTACGGCAATAAAACCGAATATAATGT